AATCAGATGAGCAAAAGCTAGGGGCAGAAAGATCAAGTTGTTAACTTTTGCAATAGTCTGGGCAAGAAAAGTAAGAGCAGAAATGGAATTATGGCACCAGAAGAAATAGAGCCTTCTAGCTTACAGGTGCAAGGAGAAAGAGAACAAACAAGGGCAGAATGTAAGATTCAGTCTAGCATAAATCTAAGCAGTTTAGTCTGACCTGGATACGGCTTTTGCTGTGTCTTCTTAACTCCTTTATTTTATTGGCTCCTTTATTAAAGCTCGTACTTTATGCTGAAAGATTTAGTACTCACTTTTTCCTTCCGTACAACTTGCAGGAGGATTATCTATTAATCCAAATGCTGACACTCACTCATTTCCATTACAAAAATAGCCCTGATCTATAACAGGATCCTCACTGCAGCTAGATGAGCCTTTAAAACCAGCCTGGGAAGAAAATGATTCTCAACACTCTAGACTCCATGTTTATTATATGAGCCTTAACTATGTTTTATGTTAATGAAATTTAGCATCAAAAGCAATGGACATCAAACAGAGATAAAAAACAAGCATAATAAATACAGAGCCCCTCATCTTATTCATTCCCTCACTCAGTAAGTACTAAGCAGAAAGCACAGTGCTAGGTACTTCCCAAGCACACAGAAGGACCAATCTTTTGGGAGGCATAAATTCTGGCAGAAGATATCTGGTGAAAAAAATAAGAGTAATGCGAGATCAGATATAATATGTGGCAAAGGAGACGTATAGAATAGAACATTTTAGAATTTAAGGAGTGGTTACTTCTGGTTGTAGTAATCATGGTAGCTTGATAAAGTTGGGGATAGCTGAGCTGAGGCTCAGTTCTATAGGTATTTTAGGTGGGGGATATTTCACAAAGAGGGGGAGCTGGGGGGATGTGTGGTGCAGAGTGAGTGTTCAGTTGGGTTGGAGCACAAATACGTTGGAGCCACGTATAAGGAATCAGCCAGTTAACTTTGGAAGGAGCTGAGGTCCGAATGCCCCGTAGAGCAGGGGACTGTGCACAGCAGGCTGAAGGGAGGCTTTGAACAGGAACTGGAATGATCTGAGACTGAGTTTTAAGGTGATTAATGTTGGCAGCAATAGATAAGCAGTAGATAAGGCAAATTAAGGGGAAAAGAGATTAGATGTCCTTTAGGAGGCTATTGAAGTAGTCCAGGTCTGCAGGAATGGGAGTCTGAAATGAAGGTGGAGGCCAGGAAACAGAAAATGAAAGAGCAGATTCCAAAGGTCTTAGCCAAAGATCCTCAAGTCACTCTTTCTTGAGCAGCAGGAGAACATGCAGCAGAGTTGTTCTGGTCCACTACTAAATCACATTCGCTATATTTGAAGGTTTATCTTTTATTGCTTGATTTCAGAACGTGGCTGTGTCACAGTGGTACCTAATGTTTTGGGGGTGCTCTCCAATGTACAAAACACACTAATTATATTATTTTTAAAGTGCTGTCCAATTATTAAGGAAGGATTTGAATGGAAGAAATATAACATTCCCAGGGTAAAATTCCACACAGTACGCAGTGGTATGTGGAATGAAAATTCTTCTTTGATCCAAGAGACTCTGTCCATATCTGAGAGGCAACCACTACTACTACTCTCTAAGATGTTGTTCAGAAATGTTGTATGCATTTACAAGCTGAAATACATGCCTATATTCACCATCTTTGGAGCCAATATGCTGCCATTTTGCAACTTGATTTTCTCCCCCTCTCTGCTTCCACAATGCTTTCTCCATTGACATTTTGGGCTGCATAATTCCTTGTGTGGGGACTCTCCTGTGCAGTGTAGATCACAGGCATATAGAAAGCATCCCTAGCTTTTCCACCCCAGATACCCTTGAGTTGTGACAACCCGAAAGGTCTCCAGCTATTGCCAAATATCCCCTGGAGGGCCACCTTTTCCTGGTTGAAAACCACCACACCAATAGGCCGTTTCTGTCACTCTTCATTTTATTAAATCCAGCTGTTTATGTCCTTCTTCCCACAAGTCTGTATGCTTCTTTACAGCCCATATGACATATTAATCATTTCTTTATTTTTCTAACATGGTACTTTGCTCACATTAGCTGCCTCACATAGAGTTGTTAAATGAAAGAAATAGACGTGGCATTGAATATAATTAATGTTACGTCTTAAACACCATGAAGTTCTCATTAAGGTAGAAAGTAGTTACAAAGAAATGCATGCTAATAATTTTCCTCAGTACTATGGGGGTCACTAAGCATCAAAGATATTTTCATCATTATTTGCAGAGACAAAAAACTTGACAGATGACGAGAATACCAATCGTGTAAGGCAGAGTATATGGTGCCCAAATAAACAATGCAGAGATAAAATGCTACTGAATTTAGAGGAAGCACAGACACAAGCCTTGTAGTTATGTCACTAGACAGTTTTTGAATAAATGGTTTATACATTAATGTGTGTGTGTGAGAGAGAGAATGAATGAAGATTGTACTGGCTGGGATGACTGGCGTGCTGGGGCCGTGAAGACTGGCAAAACTAGGAATTTAAGAATCACAGGTTTCTCACTGAAAGCTTGAGGTACTGGCTTTAGATCTTTCATGAAGTTATTCTGAAGACCTGAATGGGGTAGTGTCGGGGGATAGCTGCTTCTGGATTTTTTACTGATGTTTTAAGGAGTATATATTCCAAGAAATGTAATGTGTAAAGTGGCCTCAAGGAAAACTCTTTCCTCCTTCCTTTCCTCATTTATCCTTCAGCAAACATCTACCATGTGCCAAGTATGTGTCAGCCCTGTGCCAGGTGTGGGGACTGCAGCTGTGAGCAGGATGCTGAGAAGGATTCAGTTCTCATGCAGGTTTGATCGAACAGTGACTTCACATATTATATGAACGCTGAAAGATCCTACTGTTATTTCTAATCTCCAAAGTATCTGCGGTCATAATGTATATCTATGCTCTATTGTCTCCGTACATAGTAAAGGCAATTATTACCTCAAGCACCTTCCAGATATGTCAAAAATGTTAAGCTACACTGACCACAGTAATTGATTTGCCACCTCGGTGCTACTGCCCCAGGACTGAAAAGCAGCAGATATTCTGTGCGTGTGAAATGATGGCCTAGATGTTTGGGTGAGACAGTGAGGAATGAATCTCTAATCAAACTGAACATAGAGCTACGGTCAGAAAGCAGCATGTAATTATCCAGCTGGAATCTGGCCAGGGTGGTAGATAGATTCTCTCAGTTCCTAAGGAAGGGAGCATAGAACTTAATTTTTTAAAAGATTTTATCCATTCATTTTTAGAGAGAGGGGGGAAGGGAAGGAGAAAGAGAGGGATTGAAACATTGATGAAAGGTAAGAGAGAATCATTGATCAGCTGCTTCTCCTAGGTGACCCGACCTGGGACTGGAACTGCAAGCCATGTATATGCCCTGATCAGGGAATGAACCAGTAACCTTTTGCCTTGCGGGACATTGCCCAACCAACTGAACCACACACATCAGTGCTGAAGCATATGAATTTTAAATTACACTACGCTTGAACGATGAACATACTTCTGACTCAAGTTCAAAGGTACCCATTACCTTTGGAATCTCCACCAAGAAATCCTGCCTTCTTGACAACCTCACTGAAGAGTTCAGAGCCTCGATTTTTGGATGGGAGTCATGAAAACATTTACTCAGGAAAGTTCACTTCTTTTGTGTCATCAGACACACTTATACAGTAGATATTTAGAAAAGCTCTATTCCTGTTTTGCAATGTCAGCTCTCTAAGTAAGGGGTAGAAGATATATCAGTATCATCTTGCTGCTGGAAGCTGCTAAGTGCTGCTTAGGAAACAATCTGCCCAGTCCTCAGTCTGTGTGGGAAAGGCTTTTTTGATTGTGGACTTGAGAACGTATTGAAAGCTATGAATGTGCTATCTCCCCCTTGCTGTTCACCGCCCCCCCCATTACGCATTCGAATGCACAGCTACATACAACCTTGGAAATGAGGGCCTTTTGTCCCCTGAATTCAATCCATGGGCCCTGACATTCCAGGTTTAGAGACTCTTACTTGGTCAGCTTGGGTTTCTATACTTTGCTACTTCAGGAGAAGAAAACTAAATTCTCTCCTGCAACTCCTGAGCTGCTAAGGAAATCTTCCATGATTTCAGCTCTCTCTAGAAGCCGAATAGGGCTCAATCAATGGCACATAAAGAGGCCTTACATGTTGAGTTTTTTTTATCTTGATATGCAGTTGACTTTATCTCCTCAAAAACAGATTGTTTTATTTTCTGTGTTCTATAGAGATGATAGAAAATACTTATATAAACTAAGTTTCAAACTCACAGCCAGCTTTATTCCAAATGTCTTAGAGTTGGTTACTTAAAAATGTTTCTAAAAAGATTTTGCATATTCTAAGTACTTTAGTGTTACTAATATGCTATGATTTTCACCTAGGGTATCTGAATCAAATAAATTCAAGTGGATTTTGTTTTCTTGGAATAAATAAAACAAATTACCCAACACCCAATATGCCAGGTACATTTTGAAGCCACTTCTTCAAAACCAATGTTTTTTTTTGAAGACTTAGAATAATATTTACATTATCTCACTGAGAATTCTTTTAAAAGTATCTAGTTCTCACAGCTGATACTCATTTATCCTCTCTTCCTTCTTTCCTTCCTCTATTATTTATTATTACTAGACATATTGAGATATTCAATCAATACATTATTGAGTCACATTATCTACAAAGCATTGTGTCAGATGTGATGGGAAGTTCAAAGATGTATAAGGCAGGTCTTCTGGACAATATAATCTATTATTGAAGATAAGGCATGGACCAGAATAATATAAAATTAATGTTATGACTAAAGTTATAGTTTTGCTGGTAGAATTTAAATATATTTATTATATTTATCTGGCAATTAACTATATTTTACCTTAGAACTCCACAGTAAATAGAGGAGTCAACATTACCACTTTGAAAAGCTTTTATGAAATAACTTTTTTAAAATTATTGTTTATTTCCTACCAGACAGGGCTGTCAAATTTGCATTTTTGTTGAAAACTTCAGTTATTCCAAGAGCCTTCAAAACATCTTTTAAATCAATTTCCTGTTCCACTGTGAACCTGGAGAAAACATAGGGAGGAAAATAGTTTGTTATAGCATTTTAAAAGTATTTTATTACAGTATCTTGTTAGCTGAGACAAAAATAAAATGTTAGATATGTTGATTTTTAAAGTCGGTTTTAAGAAGGAAAATTACGCTAAAACAGGCTTTTGCCTACAAGTAATATTTCATTGTGTTTGTAAAAAGAGGAGGGGTCAAATAAAATAACAGAAGAGTATTAAATTATTAAGTAGAAAAAATACATGATTTGGACACAAAATCATAATATATGGTGAAATAAATGAATTTTTAGATCAAGAATCATTACCATAGTACTATGTATAACTTGTAAATGAATAGCATTCAAAACCCTTTAACCTGGTAACATAGTTGCTTTTTTAAGCAGGTATTGATTAATTATACATTAACCCAAGGTGCTTCCTTCTCTTCTTCATATTCTGGTCAACTTCCTACCCAATGGAAAACATTAAATAAGAACCAAATTTTGCTGTAAAGTGAATACATCTATCATTTCAACTCTATACAACTCACAGAAAGGTAATATAAAAACTATCATGTTAACAAATATATATATTCATGATTATATTAACCTCTCAGACATAAGCCTGTTCTCATGGTAGCACTCCAGAAAAGCTGTTAACCAATAAAAGTAAGTTAAATATTGTATCTTAAGAACTATGCACCTTTTTCAATTATATAGAGATTTTTAAAATAAGAATAACAGATCCTTTTTGTTCTGATGAATTAATATATATGATAATATACCTTATGAATTATTATACATAAATATGCCCTATTTTTGTAAAAGTAAATACAACATTATTTAAAAACTTAAATGAAAATAAGTACATAGTTTAATTTTAAAAAATGGTCTACACAGAGCCCTGGCTGGAGTGGCTCAGTTGGTTAGGTATCATCCATCTGGCAAGGCAAAAGGCTACCGGTTAGATTACCAGTTGGGGCACATGCCTGGGTTACGGGTTTGGTCCCCTATCAGGTTGCATGCGAGGGGAAACTGATCGATGTTTCTCTCTCACAACAATGTTTCTTTTCCTTTCTTTCTCACTCCCTTTTCCTCTCTCTAAAATTTTCCACAGAAAGCCAGATTGTTACTAAAACAGACTATCTCCCAAACCCATGTTACTAGTTAAAGATATAGACAAAAACATGTTTGCATTAACAAAAAAGTGCATTTATTAAAAGCAAAGGGTTTTATTACTTTCTACAAAAAAAATGAAAATAACTGGTTAGAACTAAATGTGCCTCCTCATCAATACAGAGAAAAAGAATAAATTTTAGGCAATGGCCGTACACTTACAAGAGCTATGTCAGCAACAGTCTCTCAACGTTTACATTAGCATCATTTCTGATGTCTGGCTTTAAGAGGAGTGACAAGGGAATGATTGCAATCAGTAAGACTCAGACACCCAGAGAAATGATTAGGAGAGAGTAGTTTTAGCAGGTCCATGTTTATAGAAAAAAGTAAGATCAAAAGCCAAGTAAATGTATAGCAAACATATGAAACTAAGTACTAAATTTTACCTATATCCTATACTTTAACTTGGACTTACATTGTTTGTTTTTTTCTTATCCCTCCCCATTTTGCTTTTACAAAAAAGTACATATTGTCTATGAAAGTATAAAAGGAAGATGAGTAGGAAAATATGGGATGTTGTACAGAAAACATTCAATGGCTTAATTAAGGTTTTTTTTGTGTGTGCTTTATTCTTCTTATTATTATCATTATTAATTTATTTTTGATCACTTATATATAGCTTACTATATGCTCAGGACTGTTCCAAGAACATGAAAATCAGATTAATTTAAATATCACCACAGGCCTTTGAAGTAGCTGTTATTATAATCCTCAGTTAAAACAAGAAAAAACTTAAGGACAGAATCATAAAATAACTTGACAAGGTCACCCAGCTAAATAAGTGGCAGAACAGGATTAGGGGCCAGGGAGCATGATACTTACCCTCCTGACCCACCCAAAATAGAAAAGTAAAGGAAGAAACCATAAGCAGCTTCCTTTTACTGTTTTTTGTTTGTTTTTTACTGAGAGTCATGTATTTCTTTTGTTGTTACCAAACATTTCCAAAGTAATACTTACCAGAAATTAACATAGCTTCTTCATTTCTCCTCCCTGCCAACCCTCATCTACTGAAAGGGCTGTAAGGGCACAACTGCCAATGAAAATGTGAACTTGACCTCACTTGTTAGTCTACACATGCTAAGTCCTCATTCCTCCCTTTAGTCAACCCCCGTCTGAATTTTCTGAGAATATTGCTCTCTATCCTTTTATGTGCATTCTATCGTCTTTTATTCTGAGACTTTGACACCAGATGTATTTATCTGGAGTTGGAAAGAAAAACTCTTTTTACTTCCTTGAAGCAACTTGGTTTGTTTTACACTTCTGAGGCTGGTTGTTTAGGTGAAGACGGTAGATTACTGAGACTGCACTTGGACAAATTCCTTGATTTCTGAGCCTCAGTTTCAGCACATAAAAAAATGGCAATAATAATAATACCCACTTCATAGTATTGTTGAGGGGATTTAAAAAAGTTTCTAAAAGTCTTAGGATGGTTCTGGCATGTAGCAGGCGTGCAATAAAGAGCAATACAGGTAACAGTTCTTATTATACTGAAATTATGTATAGTATTCACATTATTATAGATGTTAAGATGTGTATATTTATATTTTAGTAGTGATGAAGTAACTTGATTAAATATCTGGATTAATCCCTGCTACTTTAACTATAAAGTAGTCAAATGTAGTGTTTTTATTTTAATGTTTGTAGTACCTGGCATAGGACAAAACACATAAGTTGAAGTGAAATATAATCTAGGTGTCCATGAGAATGTCTATTCTAAGTTAAAGACAGGGTGTAAACAATTTCCATTCATTTATTCATCCTTTTCTCATCAAACTATTGAAAAAATAGCTATTACACATTAATAATCTCTTTCTTCTTAATATAGACCAGTATTAATGTAAATGATCATTATTATCTTCTTTAAACTGAGTGTTCACTATATGTCCCAGGCACTATGCAAACCATTTTATGTATAGTAGCTCATTTGACCATCCCTATGCTAACCTCACACAATCCCATGAGACAGGCATTATCTCTATTCCAAAAAAGAACAAACAGAAATCCAAACAAGCTAAGAAACTTGCCCTAGTTACGCTGCTAGTAGGTCATCAAATGACGATAAGAACTACGGTCTTTCTCAGTGCAAAGCCCCCAACACTAACCACTATACTTACAACAATCGTTTATTTAAAAACAAATAACTACAGCCCTGGCTGGTGTAGCTCAGTGGATTGAGCACGGGCCTGCAAACCAGAGGATTGCAGTTCAATTCCCAGTCAGGGCACATGCCTGGGTTGCAAGCCAGTTCCCTGCAGGCCAGTTCCCAGCAGGGGACACATGAGAGACAACCATACATTGATGTTTCTCTCCCTCTCTCCTTCCCTTCCCTTCTAAAGATAAATAAATAAATAAATATTTAAAAAATAAAAAATAAAAACAAATAACTACAGAGGGGGGAATTCTGGGAAAAATGGGGGACATCTGTGTCAACAATAACAAAAGGCTAAACACTGCTTTTTTAAAACCAAAAGGCGTGGCTGTTTTAATAAAAGCATACGATGTGATGGTGTATTTGCACCTTTTTATCTGAGCGTGCTGAAGAGTTACGTGGAGGGTGGAAGCATCAGAGACTGAGCAGACATGTGGAGCAAATGTTAGAATACAATAAATACACAAGTATATTACCTTGAAGAAAATTTATAAAGTTTGTAAGCAATTAAGGCTTCCATAATAAAAAGCATTCATGTTAAAAAACAAAATCAGATGGCTTGTGCATTGGTTTTCTTTTAAAAACATGAAGCTTTGGGAGAAATAAACAGAAAACTGTACTTGAAAAATAACTAAATAAAAAAAAGTTAAAAAAAAATGAAGCTTAAGTACTTTATTTATAGACAGTTATTTCAAAATAACAGCATGGTTCCTGGTTACAAACCAGAGAACCACTTTATATCCTCTGATTTCTCTCTGTGATCACAAATGACAAATCCGAGACTATAAAAGTCAGAGTGGAAAGATACTATAGCCAGTACCTCTGCCTTCCAAGTATACAGATATTGGATTTTGAGTTTAGAAAACTCTTCTCATACCTAAGCCAAATCAGCAAAAACTGAAAAGTCAGCACATACAAGGGTGATGAAGAGAGTAATGTGCATGAGAACCAAGTTTTTAAAACTCCTACCTAGAGAAAAGTGCATATTAAACTACTCATAGATCCAGATAAGATAAATACTAGTATTTAAAATGTACACTGAAAAATAAATAATGATAGTAATAATATGTAGTACTTATACGCTACTCTCTGCCAGGCAAGTACTGTAATGTGCTTTTAAGATTATATATATTTTATATGTTAGCCAAGCTACTTTTGCTATCATGGGTAAATTGGAAGAATATCTGACCACCTCACTTAAATCTTAGAGATGTATGACTATGCATAAACCTTATGGTATTTCACTGAATTTGGCAATATACCAAAGGTATAGCACTCTTACCCTCTACAAAACAGAATTCTTACATTTTGGATACATATACAACTTTAACTTATTACCTGTTAATAGGATTATTTTGGGGGGATAACAAAAATACAAGTCATTGCTTCTTTTCCTCCCTCCCCAAAATACTCTATACATCTTAAGAAAAGCATTTTAAAGCTTTTTTGTATAAAATGTAGTATAACACAATAAAATATGTGTCAAGCAGGAAAAGAACTGGTCAAAGATGTGCAAAGTTGCATTTGCTGGTAATAATTTCCATATGAATTAAACTATACACCCATTTAAGACAGAAACTTGCATAAACCTAGCATAGAACACAGCTATCAGAATATTTTTACCTTTTTAAAAATCAGGGCACATAAGTTACTACCCCTATTGAACATTTTGAGGAGGCTAATGCTATAAAATGGAAGGGGTAGATAGTTTTCCATTGATTACTACAGACACATTAGTATTTGAAAATAGTCAGTCTCTCAAAAAGAGAAACCAAGTTTATCTTATCTCTCCTTCCGCCTCCCTCTCCATGAATACGTGGAGAAACTAGCCACGCAGAGGGGAGTTCATAGAACTGCTAGAGTCAGGGACACGAGGCAGTCAGCTGTGCCTAGTTTAGCAATAGGCATTAATATGAGCGAGCAAGCCAAACTGTTTCAGAATTGAACAGTATCTCTTAGAATGTGAAAAATTAATTTTCTTCTGCTGCCACATTCAGTTCCTCAGTGGGACCTGCAGCCCACATTTTCTAGTGAATACAGTTGAATTAAAATATGTGATTCTTTTTAAGCATTCATTTATATTTCTGTTACCATACTTCTAAGTAACTGCCTCCTCACAGAACTGAAGCATTTGGAGATGCTTCAGAAAGGGAAGCAGTACCACTGTACTGAATTTCCCATATTATCAAAAGGAATTCATTATATAATGTAAAAAAAATAAAATTAATGATAAAAGTCTCTGGATGAGAGTTTAGACCTGTTCAGATGTTTAAATTGAATTAGTAATGTTTAAAAGTAAGTGCTTTTGGAGGTAAGATATATTGTTTATATATTCAGTATGAAGGTCAATTATTTATATATAAATACAGGAGGTCTGTCTGGAAAAATTCCAGCCACTGTTAATATAATAAGAATAGATTGCATGACATCCATGTAACCTGGCAGCCAAGGAGAGTGGACTGGAATGTGCAAGTGTGAAAAATGATGACTTCACTGTACTAGTCAGTGGGGGCGGTAGAAGCTGTTGAGTGAGAGTGTGTACTGTGTGGCTGTCACATTAAAAATGACTGAGCAAGTGCATCAATGAATGTGCCTTAGATTTTACATTAAGCTTGAACATTCCTCCGCAGAAACTACTGGGATGATTCAGAAGCCTGTAGCTATGGGCAACTGGTGATTGGCACCTTCATCAGAATAACACACCTGCTCATGCAGCACACCTTGTGCAGACTTTTTTTGCGAAACATCAAATCACCCAGTTGACTCAATCCCCCTATAGCCAAGATTTGACACCCTACTTTTCCAAAAACTAAAATCGCCTTTGAAAGGGAAGATATTTCAGACCATTGTTGAGATTCAGGAAAATATGACCTGGCAGTTGATGGCAACTGAGTGAACTGTGTGAGGCCCCAAGGTGCCTTACCAAATACCAAATACCTTATACCTTAACACCAAATACCTTAATTTGGTATTAAGTGTCCAGAAAGGGCAAATCTACAGAGATTTAAAAAGTAGGTTAGTAGTTTCCTGGCCCCTGGGATGGCAACCAGGATCGACGGTAAATGGGCATGGGGATTTGACTGGGGTGACAAAAATATTCTAAAACTTATTTCCTTCACTTAATATACTTTAGAAATCTAATTAAGTCTGCAAACTTTTAAATGACTATTCCTAAAATTAGAATAAACACGAATGTTTAGTAATTCCATTTTAATACTATGTCTTATTACTTTTCAATGTTCATACTAATTAATCATATTTGTCAATTTTTTTAATCCAAATCGAGTGTTAAAACTGTACTTTCACATACATGCATATACATAGGTTTATCTATCATTCATCTGTATGTCTCATTTCCTGGTCCAGATCTAACTAGCACACTGTGTTTATAAACTTGTATGCACCTATTGGTCTCATTCTCGCACTAAGTTTTAAGGTACTAAAGGACAGAATAAATGTCTTCAGTTGGGTTTGGTTTTGTAAACACATCTCTATTATGAGGAAGAGATCTGACTTAAGAAAAACTTGCAGAAGTAAAGCAAGAGTTACTGTACAGATGGGTAAGGTCATCGTGGGTCAGGACCATAAATGTACTGTCATAACAGGGAGACTCACACATGAGGACAACATGGGGGTCACCTGGGCCATCACGGCGTTCGTGGAAGGGTCCCTGAAACTAGTGCCAGAACTGGACCCTGGAGGCTTAGTAAACAAATCTTGCAAGGCAATGTGAGGAGGGCAATTTAGGACAATACAAAAAACACACAGAGACCCAGAGGCATGAAAAGAGCGTGATGTCTGTGGCATAACCACAAACACACAGATAGCACACGCTACTAAATATTTGATGTGCTAGTGGCCAGGGGCTAGGGTTGAGGAAGAGAATGCAGTCAGAACATCAAGGCCCTGCATGGACTTTATTCTTTTGGCCACAGGAGAAACTTAAGCTTCTTCCTGTTTATTTATGGTTGCATCTCAGCACCTAGCACCGTGACTTGTTTGCCCTTTTTCCAATGCAGAGATTATTTTTGCACCCATAATCACCATTAAATATTAATGAAATACAGAAGACTGTCAGTGTAAATTATATTCAGAGACAATGTATTGGAAAATCTCCTAAAATGAAGCTGAGAAGATTGACTCATCTGAAACTAGGTGTTGGTAAACAGTACTAAATGAATTAGTAAGTGAGGCTGTGTCTCTGGGCGGGACTGAATGAGAATGAAAGAGCACTTTTTAAAAAGGAGAAGAAGGCAAATATTAGAGGAGGAGGAGAAGACAGAAAAGGAGAGCAGCACAAGACTTAAAATTCAAAAGTAATGGGAAGAGTTTTTCCAGGTCAGAATCTTACTGATTACTCCTCCCCCGCCCCGCCCCTCCCCTCCATGCTATCAGGGGGAGCAGCACAGCAGCCTCTCACCTGGGCAGGTACACTTCCACTTTTTGCTTCTTCACAGAGTTTGCCCATTCTTCAATCAGCTGTGCTTTGACCAGTGGCTCCAGAGCGGCCAGTGGAACTTCCTGTCTGGACAACACCAGCATCATACTTATCTCATCTCCCTCGTATGGTATTTCTAGGACTTGGTAGATACCACCGGCTTCATTGGAACCATCACTGAATTCCCCTAAAAAAAAATCAAAGCTCCACATCAAAGCCTAAATAAAATGTTTAAATTTGTTATAAAGCTTTTTTTTCAAAATAGTGTGTAGAATCTAAAATTTAGGCATCTGAGAAAAAGAGAGTTTATTTAAAAATAGACCTTGAAATTTAAGTGAATCCTAAGCCTTACAGAATCTATTTTATTTTAGAATCCCAGAATTATTTCACGTTCATCATAACATGTTCTCTAGACTTTGTTTTTATTTTTAAATGAGACTTCAAATGAATACAAATTTAAAAGATATTATTAGAAACAATGAAAATTTCTGGTTAGAAAAATAAAGTCTTGGATCCAATATTGTATTTACCAATATCCACCTGATTACTAAGGGAAAAACTGACCGTGTAATACCTGGTGTTCTATTAATATCACAGCTAAGAGTTTTGAGACCAAGGCAGGACAACCAGAATGAAACCTACTGCATTTGACAATAGGTATCACCTTCCAATTGGGTGATTAGGTAAATTAGATAATTGGCTTTTTGTTCTGTAAACTTAGCAAAATTGACTAAGCTTTCATAAACAAATTAGTCTTTAAAATAAATGATCCTGCTACAACTTTAGAATTTTTCCCATTTAAAAAAAATAATGCTTTTGTTGCGAATATTTTCCGGCAATTGATCTACGGCCTTTAAACATCACATTAAACATTTTGGTTCTCAAATAAATGGGTATCTTCTTTTTAGTTTTGACTACTAATTTGATTAACTGTGATTACAATCTTTTATTTTTACAATGTATTTTAAATAGAATAAGCTACTAGTTCTAACATACATTTAGTTTAAAATTACACCTTTGCTTATGAAAACAAACTAATCCGGTTTAATATAGGGTATAAGAAGGATTAACACCTGAAACTTTTGAAAAATGAAACATCTATGAAGATAATGCCAAGGATATTGAGCTGTATCACAAATTACAGACCCTCAATAAATGAAACTATGAATGAATAATTATGTCTGACCATACATACACACATGTGAAGGTAAAATTTCAAAAGAATATTTGTGATTTAAAAAGTTGTAAAAACACAATGAAATTTTTCTTTAAAATGAAAGAAAAAGTTGTAAGGAAAAAAATCAAGAGCTGGGTGGAATATATAAATCACTGAAAACTACCCAAAGCCAACGGCTTTTTGTAATAATTGAATATTCTTACACAAGGTCAGGTATTTTTATGTGAATAAAGTCATTCTGCAGGTGTGATTACATTTACAAATTAAAGAAACATATTGAAAAGCTGTCAATGCACATAATATTCACTCAGGATCTAATCAGAGGCTTGGAAAATGGAGCCAAGGAAATTGAATTGGAGCTCAAACTAGATTGACACGAATTTAAGTAATGAATGTTTCATGTTCTTTTTTTAGGAATTTGTTGAATTACCTCTAAAAGAGAAACAAAAGCCAAAATGTCATACCATAATAAAATTCTCCTTGTTGATACATCATTGGAATTTGAACTTCACTTTCATCATCTTTAGTGAAGGAAAAGGTTCTAGTGTTTTCGGGTCTAAATTGTGACTTCCAGTTACCCTTGAAATAGACAGCACTGATGAGGGCCAGATGAGTGACGGAGTCAAAATCTCTTGGGGACACCAAATCTTTCAACAGACCTATTCAGGAAAAATAAATGGATGAAAATTCATTTTAAATTGGAAGATGAAATGGGGCCAAAGGTTATCAAACTACTATCTGATGGAGTGTTATAGAAAGACTGTATACCATTACAAAAATTTAAATAAACCTTAAAACTATCTTACTTTCAAAAGAAAAATGTTCACACATACAATTACAGCTTCAGGGCATCTAAAATACCCACATCACTTAAGATAACACAAGTATCTTAATACTGCACAAACCACGGAACCATAAACAACAGGATCTCCAGCTCCAGTACTTTCTAGTTGCAATGATGCTGTAAAACTCTTAGCACAGGGTAAGCACTCAGTAAATGTTTCTGTCTCTATTCGTAATCATTGTACCTGATTAAAATGTCATTCAATTCAAACATGCCCCCATATACATTGGATCTCTTTCTACCACATATAACAAGTACTTTTGACAGCAAAAACAGACAAGCGAAATCTAATTTAACCTACGATCTATGATGCCTCTTTATTTATTTTTTTCACATATGCCTAGACCAGGGACTGATGCCTTCTTTTCTATCAATCACTTGAGATGTTCCTTTCCAAGTCTATTTTGAGAGATACTGGGTCTTTGTTGATTGCTATATGTTTAAAAAGAGTTTGGAAACAAACAGCTTTTAATTATTCAATCTATTCCATGTAGATTATTATTCTTTTTTTTATGGCTGTTCACATACAGTTGTCTCCAGATTATTTTTCTCGATTTATTTGTTCAATGTTAAAAAACAAGCATGATTTCTTTTAACTTACATTTTAATCTCATAGTTGAAAGAGTGACTTTAGGGAGGTTGATCATAGAGAAAAAGGAATATAGTGAAAAAGATAGGACCAAATTTTGTTCTGTATTCTCTCATCTTATTAATTATAGAAACTTCTGTACTTACAAAGGTGTTTTGGCATCTTAAGGATTTATATGTCACAAGGGAACATCACCAGGGCTTTTGTTGTTTTTCCAACATAAAATGTATTAGATTTACATTATTTGCTGAGGTCAACAATATAAATTAATTTAATGAAAGGCTGTAGTAAATATACTTTAAATTTGGTCTCAATTTTGAAGATTCTAATTTCAATTATTTGTATGGTAAAATTAGAAAATAAAATGATAAAATATGAAAAACCTAGAAAACTTGAATACATTTAAAATATATCAATTAAAAATAAAATGTAAAATTCATGCATCTATTCCTAATTTCTTTCCATTTATTTGGGCCTAAAATGGGATGTTCTTTTTTAAAAGAATCCTAAAGGTTTTTTGATTACCAATCAAGTTCTGTGGTTTAAAAGCCAAGAAAAATGTTTAAACTCTGACTTTTAACTCTCTTATTCTATTTTAATCATAAGACACACTAACTGCCATTCCAACCAGTATCTAGTTCATTAGTAAGCTCAAGCAAAATTTCATATAGTAGCTAAAATTACTATACAGAGAAAACCTATCAAATGGAGAGCACAGATTTCAGATCAATTTATCAGTGCCAAAATTCTACGCGTGCCAAAAGACTAAACTTATTTCTCAAATGTTTACTCATAAACAGTGCTTCTAAAAACACTTTAATCTATACAAAGTAATTATTAGATACTCAACTAAATGTTATCTAATGTTCAAAATGCAAAAGGAACGAGAAGACAAATAATATCAGAAGTAAGAAAAAGCTAAAACTAAGCTATTTGGGAGAGAAAAGAACCAAATGACGTACTATTTGTGTTATTCTCCACCCACTTATTGATGTGGTTGGCCACAGCAATATTTTCACTGAAGTCCACGTGATTCACTTCCGCGTTAAAATATTTTTTCATCATTTGCAAAAACTTTTCGTTGACGTGAAATTCATTTTGCACAAAGAGGGAATTGGCAATTTTCATCACATACTGGCTCTTTTCAGCAGTTACCATGTTAGAAAGTTCCTTCAGGAAAGAAAATTCTTCACCTACAAGAAGACAAAGAAGACACAGGGTAAGTGTTTTTAGTGGAACAAATGTGGAGAGTGGAAGAGCAAAACACAGCCAGAACCCGAAGGAAAAGCAGTCTCTCGCTCCGCAAACCCGCCATGGTGAGGGGGGTCAATATTTGTGAGATGTTTAATGTTCAAATCAACATTTTTGCAGTTTAGTATTATCAACTGATAACTATTTTTCACTTTAATTGATATCCTGGTAAAATCTATAAAGTCAGATTTTTGGTTGCTCACTTTCAAAGTACTTAGGTTACTTTCATTAAATTAGTCTTACATTTATCAGAAATAAGAAGTAAGTGTAATTAGTTTAAAAATCAAATTATTTCTTAAAATTTAGTTTTAATAGACTTTTAAAAAATCTTACAACTGAAAGTCCATTAGAAATTGTTTTAGTTCTTAACTTCTTAATGAGTTAACTCACATGTATGTTAGAAACATTAAAATAGAGATCTTATACCCTGTCAAAGTGATTACATAATGCATATTGGCTACAAATTTTCTCCAATACATATAGTTCTCATAACAATGCAACATTTTAAAATAGATTCTTAGATGCTATCTAAACAATGAAGATGCAATTGATTTTAAGCAAAAAAATCATATATTCTTAGAAAATCATATTGCTTTTCTTTATAGCATTCATCACAGTTGTAAATTTTCATTTATTTACATAATTGATTAGTAATATATGTCACTCCCTCTCAACTGAAAATGCCATTAGAGCAAGAACCATGTTTGCTTTTGTTTATAACAGTAACGTTCATTTAAATAACAACATTATTATTAATAATAATATATAATTTCTGTAGATTAACTCAGCCTGAGACAGAGCCTGGAATTAGCTGCTTTCTTGGATTTCCTAGCATTTCTCATGGCCACACCTTCTCAATGAGATTACTTTGTTACCGTGTGTAAATACTGCTGCCTCTGGCATAAGACAACGTAACTGAGTTGAAAGGTAAAGTTAAACCATCCTGAGAAAGCGAACCTGAGCACACTCACCAGCTTTCAGGCTGTCATATCCCATTGAGTGACGAATTTCTTTCAGGGTAGATTCTTGGGCACCAAGTTCCATCATTCCCATTGCAAGGGTGATGCTCAATGGAGAGAAAAGAATATTTTCATCTTCCCCAGTGGCTCGGAGGTTATTATACATATTCACTGACAAGTCCGCAATGGTTTCATCAGGGAGAGTGGCCCCTCCGGCCAGACTTTGCAGAACCAGCAAAGAGAAAAGTCCAAGGAAAGCCATGTTGGAATAGTTTCAATCCTGGAAAGCAGTAATTTACATGTAAATTATCTTAGAAAAAAGAGAAATGAGCACATATGTGAATTATTTCTTAGATACGTTATAAAGTAAACCAAAAGATTTTTATTTTTATATTGATTGGTTGTATTTTTTTCCATTACCATTTAGCCCCTTCTATACCCCTCCCCCCAGTAATCACCACCCTGTTGTCCACATCCATGAGTCTTTTGTCCTTTTTGCTTGACCCTTCCACCCCCTAACCAGCCCCCATACTGTCACCCTGCTCTCTATCTTTGAGTTTGTCTCTATTTTGCTCGTTAGTTCAGTTTGTTCATTAGATTCCACATATAAGTGAATCATATGGTGTTTGTCTTTAATATACAGTGTTAATATCTCTATAACAAAATCCCCATTAAAGGATATGTTGGACGTTCCTGTTTTCCAAAAGTCAATTAGTAGTCAAATGAGTAGATGACATTGCTAAGTGCTGAGGATACTCTCAGGAACAAGATAGCCCTGGCCCCACCTTTCATGCGTGTACGATTATGTATACATACATTTACAAAAACTAACTATATGTTGTGTTTTTGAGGCCAATTTATCCATTTTTCATAGCTTCACCATATATGTTTTGGTCATAATTTGGAAACAGTTGACTCTAGCTTGCTCAATACAACATACACAGGACAAGTATAATGAAAACCAAAAGATCTTTATAGGATTTTAGACGAACTTGTGAAGTTAGACATTTAACAATGCCACTTCACGCATTCATTGGACTTGTTCCAACTAACATACCACGCGGCTGGGTTACCACGTAGTGGGCAGAGCTCAGACACACACCTGCCACAGGCCCGTGTTCATTCAGCCCAGACTGCAGAACCCACAGGAAGTGGCACCCCGAGAAAATGTGGATTCGGCACAGCCTTGTCTGGTTTTCCCTTACCCACTGGTTCTCTAAGAAGCTGCTGCTTCCAGTAACAATCTCTGAGCAGGGAAAGACCTCTTACAACGCCATCCTTTTAGACTCAGGATAATGTTACCATATCAGCTTATACCAATGAGCTGGAGATGTTATTTAAATGACTGTTTCTAAATATCCAGCTCTTCTGGTTCTCGAACTAACTTCTCTGGGGAAGAGAAAGCAGCGTCAGTGTCCAGATATCTCTGAAGAATATTTCTGCCTCTCGGCACACCAGTGTTCCAAAGCCCTGCCTCCCCACGAACAGCCAGACCAGCACACACCGGGGACGGGACACTGTTTCCTTGTATGCTTACATTTTGTTACTGTGGGTGTCTGTAAGCTAAATTCTTTTATTTAAACAATTAAGTAGCGTACTTGTGCTTGATATGAATATATTTAAATCATCATTAAAACAGCATGGAGAGTGATGTTGAGCAAACACATTTGGAAAATCGTATTTCAATTAGTATGAAACATTAATAATCCCCATTACTCAGTTAACAGAGTGTGTACACATTTAACTTAAGAGTAGTGTGTTTCCAACAGATTTTTAAGTCACAGCTTCCTAATCAATCCTGTAATATTTTTAATATCAATTTCAGAGAACTGCCTGGTTAATTTGTAAGCCCTTCACATCTTAGGGTTTAATTTAGGTATGGAGTTTTTTTATTTTTGATTGAGAGGTTCCAAGTTGCTGCTGTCCTGAACCCACATGTATATGAAACTTCAAATAATACTCTCTTATTTAGGAAAGTAAGGTTAGCCCACCTGTAAATATGGGCTCTCACAACTCACTCTGTGAGGAGGCAAAAGAGGGCTGACGCAGGGAGACCAAGTGCATTGCGGCAGAACAGCATCATTCTTGTTCGCCACATGGAGACAGAAGCCAGGTACCGAGAGGGCTCAGCTACCCTGCTAGTCTACCCACCCGGCCCCCTATGGGAGGCTGCCCTGGCATTCTCTCTTCCTTTTCCACACCAGAGAACTCCAGGAAAAGATGAAGGTAGAATACATAAGTTTTCTCCTTTTAAGATCAGATGGCAATTTAGCAAGTACCCTTCTAAGTTAAAAGAGAATTTAAAGCATATTCAGTATTTAATACTTATGATGCAATACTGTTAAGAAGAACTTTGAAATCCAAATCAGATCCCAAAGTCCATGATCCGAATCATGACACTCTGCTGTGATCAGACACGCCATCTTAACTTCTGCCCTGTGAAGAACCCAACCTGGTCCTCATTATTTTTACTTAATGTTACCCAGTGTAAGGCAAAAAAAAATAAAGTCACTCAATTATTGTAGTATCTGTTACTCAATAATACAACTATTTAGATACCACTGCATTTAACATGAATATCAAATTTCAGGCTAATAAAAAGGTTTCATTCATAAAGAACAAAAACTAACCTACTACAAATCAATAAAAATTCCAGGAAAACAAAGCCAAGTATATTATATTCATGGGCATTTTTATTTACAAGAGAATGTATCATTCAATAATAGTGACGAACATATGATGTGCAACCTTTGGCCAGTCACATGCATTCTCTCAGTCTTAGCTTTCTCATTCATGAAATGAAGACACTACTTCCTACTCTGAGTAACACAAAAGAAATAAATGAGATCATGCATGTGTGAAGCACTCATTTTAAACTACAAGTTACACTAATAAAGAACTTTATTATTATAAAACATGTTTCCTAGGTGTATAAACAAGAGCTTATGAAGCCAAAATGAGTGTCTTATTTCTGTTGGCCCATCTAATGTCGCACCATTAGCCATTCATTCAGTGAAGACTGATACAGGTACCATAAACATACCAGAATTAATAAAGAAAGGTACTTGTCCTTGAGGAACTCTCATCACTGGGCAGAGGTATAGGATCTATACATTCTCATCCATTCTTAAAAAGAGACTCGTAAGAATCAGAAAGGTAAATCATTTCTTTAGAAAGATGCACACACATGGACCACAGAATATTTCATCCCCTGGCTGTGATATTCACTGGCCTCGGGTTAGGAACTCCAGCAGATGGTCCAGATGCAAAAGAAAGTGTAGATGGACCTTCGGCCTGGCAGTGCCTTCTTACTGTGGGAAAGAGATACCAAAAGCACGAATGCATCTTTGGGTTTCTGGAGGACTCTTGGAAAGAGCACCCGTATGTTTGTGAGAGGCTCATCCCAGGGCAGTGAGCAGCAGGCCACTGTTCCGTGTTCTGCTAGGAAACTGGGAGCAGCATGGCTGCAAATGGTGGGAGTGGGTCATGTCAGAAAACTTGCGAAGTTTATGAAAGCTCTGCTCTGGAAACACATATCAGCCACAGTTAAGTGATCTCTCTCCTCCTTTTGAAGGTGAGATTTTCAGTGTGCAGGTAGAACAACCTCTGCTAGCCTGGGTCAGCCTTACTGGTTCCACCCATCTAACCCCTGATTCTTGTCCCCCTTCACTGCTGCTGCCTCTGACTACTCTGAGTCTCCCCCAGAGGAGAAGGAAGGATTTCTTTCCCCTCTTATACTGTTTAAGCATAGATATTCTCCCTGGATCTATTCTTGGCCTTCTCTCCATAGCATTCTTCTCATTCTTGCTGGTAAACTTCTCTCAAAAGAAAGACCTCCAACTATTATTCCAAACATGCTATTCTCAAGTAAGTAAAATTCTAGCTCTGGCTGTATTTTTATCTTAATTTCTGATATGCATTGCAAATCGTTCTTGGTATATTTAGTCTTTGACTCTTGCCAGCACTTCAAATACCAGGTGGCTCGCATAGGACTCTCTCATCAATCAAACTCAGTCTTTTTTTCCCCTTTAAAACATCAAAATCCTCGACTCCTCTCCATCTAATTTTCCCTTATGTTCAATAAGCTGTCAACACTTATTCCATACTGCAACTCTGTCACCTCTCCTATCCATCATCCTGTGGCCATTTCCATGGCCATAGTGACAGTTCTTCCCCTTGATACATTCTCAAGGACTCCACCAAGAGCTCTAAACCATTCTTTGAACACCAGGGCATGGTCCTCTTCCATAGAACATATGCACAGCCTCCAGGTGAGTTCTCTTGATGGGCTGCAATGAAGAGGTATTCCAGTGTTTATAAAATCTCCAGATCTCCCTCATGTCTGCAGACTAATTCTGCAATATACCCCAGAATTTCCTTCTCTTGTTGCTGGACTGCATGGCACATTTTCTGGAACTCCTTCAACCTGGTTCCATATGTTCAATTCCTCACCACTCTTCAAGGTTCTGCTCCACTTCCATTTCCTTCATGAATACCCTCCTGGCTCTTCAGTTCAACCATTTCCCCTCTCTGAAGTCTTGGCACATTTTACTCTACTGCAGCACAAAACACTGCTCCCTTTTATTACAGACAATTTGCCCTCATCTCTTTTTCTAAGCTTTTTAAAGGCACCAATGGAAATATGTTCATCTTTATATATCTCAGGATAACCAGATAATCAGAATAAGCCCCTAATAATACATTACACACAGTAGGTGGAAAATAAGCATTTGTGGAATTAATATAGCATGAGATGTAACAACCCACATGGCTGTATTAGAAGGAACAGCAATAGTGGCTGTCGCTTTTCTGAGTTCTGGAGGCTAATTTAATCTGAGCCCAGGGTATTACCTCATTTCCATTTTGTATTCCTTTTGATAAAGTGTTTCCTTATTGAGTCTGAGACCATCTTTCCAGCCTGACAAAGTGGCGCTGTCACTAATGCTGGCACAATGCAATGGCTGGACATGGGAGGCATTAACAAACAAAGTACACCACCTTGAAAAATCACAAAACGTGCTACCCAAATGTTACTGTATTAACATTAGTCTACAGAATGCCAGGGCCTCACCATTAATCATCATAACACATTCTAAAATGAGCTACTCTCACTTAGAGCATTACTTTGTAGATTCATTACTTTCAAGCTACTGAATGAAACCCCTGTACATAAAAAAGAGGGTCTGCAGTCCCAGAAGAGTAGCTGACAGTGCTGTTGTGCTAGACAAGGCAGAAGTAGTTGAGCTGTAAATAAACCACCACTACTTGAACTTCTCCTCC